GATGCCAGGACAACTAACAAACTTTTTAAAACAAAATGTCCCATCCACGGGGCCAACCAAAGCGGTCTCATCAGCTTCTTCGTTCACGTTTGACTATTGTTCACTGTGGTTTGTTGTTGTTTGAAGTCATGAACGTTAGTTGGTGCTCCAGTATAATCGGTACCCCTGAAACTCATCCAGTGAGAAACGTTCCGCGGTGCAAAAATAAGTGCGATTAAAATGCGTTAATTTTTTTAACGCGTTAATTTTTGTGTAATTAATTAATCTTAATTAACGCGTTAAAGTCCCGGCCCTATTTAAAATACATCAAATGAGTTATAACTTTGACAGATAATGGCAGAGAGAGACAGAATGTGTTCTGGATAAAGGGATTCCAGAGTAAGTCCTACTCCATATGAAGTGTGAAGCACGGAGAAACAGCAGCATTGAGATTCTGTTCTTAAGATAAAAACACTAATCGGTTGTTTACACCCAGGCAGCAGTAAAAAGTCACCATGCACAATGTGTTATGCAGATGCACGAATATGTGATCGGGGTTAACTTACACCACCCTGCCTCCTTCTAACAAATGCAGACAAAACCAGCGTGTTATTAGAGATGTCCTGAGTGCGCTAGGAATTATGGGGGCTGGTGACTCAGCTTGTAAGGCACATCTCTCCCCCCCGAGGCTCCGGGAGCATCATAATGCCCTCCAATGAGATGCTAAGGCCACAAAGAGGACATATTGAAAAGTTGCTCCTTGTGCTGTGACGTCTGATTCTAGAGAAATGGACCGTGTACATTATGTGAGGAGTGGATGAAACACACAGAATACATTTCCACAGTAAACCTCTGAGGATCTCGGCTGCACCCCCCACCCCAGAGATTCTTCCTGCAGTCTTTACAGTTTGATGTGGGATGCTGGTCTCCTGCTGGGACCCTCAGCTGAGTGACGGAGACATCAGTGAGGGGTCCCCTTCCTCCGGAGCTCCAGAGTGAACAGACCCTCCTCCCGGCCCAGAGCGTGCTGCACCCCCACCCGGTGAGCCGTCTCTGTGGCCGTAATGTCGATCTGAGCGTACTTGCTGGAGCTCTTTCCTTTAAACACACAACACAGAGATTCTTTTGACTTCAAGTGAGAGACAGGAAGTGTAACATTTTAAATGTTCAGCACTGAAGACATTCAACACTTTGCCTTTTGACTTGCTACAAGGCAAGACAGTACTTTTCAGCACACAGCAACCCAAAGTGCTTTACAAAATAAATACAGTGGAAGCACATTATAAACAGGCATTTCAAAAGCAAAGATAATAAAATAAACACAACAGGTATAAAATACATGGATAAAAGCCATACTGCAGTTTGAATTTGAACAACTCATCCAAATGCAGCGTCAAAAAGATACGTTTTTAATCTGGATTTCAAAGTATTAACAGTTGCAGCTGACCTGCAGGACTCAGGGAGTTTGTTCCAGATGGTCGGGGCATAAAAACTAAACGCTGCTTCTCCATGTTTAGTTCTGACTCTTCTAACAGAGAGTAGACCCGACTCCTGGATGGTTCATACTTCTGCAGGAGATCGTTAATATAATTTGGTCCTAAACCATTTAGTGCTTTATAAACCAGCAGCAGTACTTTAAAATCAATTATTTGACACACAGGAAGCCAGTGTAAAGTAGGGATGGGAACGATTAATCGAATATTCAAAATGATTCAGGTATTCGAATATGAGTTATGAGTTGTTGTTTTGGGAGGGGTGCCTAAGTTGATTACATATTTTCAAATGGAATAATTCAATGTATACGACAGTGCTATAGCTAAATGTGTTCGGTGTAAAGGTGTGTTTTGATCCGCTCACCGGTCCCTCACAGCGGGCAGAGCTGCAGGTGCTGATCTCTCTCTCACGTCCGGTTATACTTCACTCGCGTTTATGATAGATCAGATCTAGCTAGTTCTAGCTAACGATATGGCTGCTGCCCCTCCCTACACGCAGATCACGCAGACTCAAACCTCATCTTATGCCCAAATTCCAGCTGAGAGGGTCTTCTCTACAGCTGGCCTGATTGTGAATCGCCTCCTCACCCGCCTCTCCCCTGAGTAGACATGCTCATATTCTTAAACAAGAATGTGTATTGAATAGCTGCATTCTGTACATAGGCCCTGTTATAGGTTTTTGATCTCTGTTGTAATAGGGTTACGTTACCCTAACCCGTTATGTTGTTCGTGTATGATCCCTCTTTCATTTAAAAACCAAGTTATGTTCTAAGCATGAAAACTGTAGGCCTATAGCTGTCAACTGTTCAATACATTTGACAAATTTGACTTGGTTTCTATACTTATTTGAACATGTATTTATTTATTGTTTGTTAGATTTTTCCCACATTTTTTTATTTTTATAGGATATGTACAATTTGGTTAACCGTTTTTTTGGGAGTTGAATATTCGAATATACATTTGCTTTCAAATTCCCATCCCCAGTGTAAAGACTTCAGAACTGGAGTGATGTGATCCACTTTCTTAGTGTTAGTGAGGACTCGAGCAGCAGCGTTCTGAATCAGCTGAAGCTTTCTAATAGATACTTTAGTGAGAGCTGTGCAGACACTATTACAGTAGTCCAGTCGACTGAAGATAAAAGCATGGACAAGCTTTTCCAAATCCTGCTGTGACATTAGTCTTTTAATCCTAGATATATTCTTTAAGTGATAGTATGCAGACCTAATAACTGTTGAAATGTGACCATCACTACACCTACGGTAGATTTCTGGCTTTATTCGTTGTTTTGAAGTCTGCCGACTGAAGCTCTGCGATTACTTTTAATCGTTCCTCCTTTGCTCCAGAAGCAATAATCTCAGTTTTCTGTTTGTTCAATTGGAGAAAGTTTCTACTTCCTGCACAACAAAGCGAGCTGGAATGATGAAAGTGGATTGACACAGAATTAGCATTTTAGTGGGAGCTTTTCATTTGGACCCTTTACAGCCTGATCTGTGAAAAATAATGTCCCCTGTGTTTCTCTTCCAAAGCATTCTCTGCCAAGCTGGGGCTCCCAGATCCTTTGGACGATTCAACAGACAAACATTTAATATTTTAATACGTTTTCTCTGTCCTGTGACTCTGCAGCCAGACTCACGTACTGTGAGAGGATCTGGCTCATCATGGTGGAGCAACAATTACATCTAAACCTCTCCACCGCCACTCTAAGCCTAACAGAGTTGTGTTTGACTCCACAGGTGATCCATGTCCAGAATCCAACAAAGGCACCAGGAGAAGTCTGCGGGGGGGGGAAGCTCGTCATGATGTCAGTGCTAAGGTGAAGGGACTCAGTCTAACATGGCCACTAAGGGGTGTGAAACTTCCTTAATTAAAAAGGAACAACAACGAGTTAAATATAAAAGCCTTTAAACACATTTTACGATTCTTTTTTCTTACCCAAAGAGGAATGAATGCATTTAAAGAGACATAAATACTGAATGATCTTTAAATTGTTCATTTAGTTTTGGGAAATACTCCAAGAGCTAAATGTGAAATTGAGTCCAATCATGTTACATATGAAGCTACAGCTATATAAAGTATGCTAAGCTTATCACAAAGACAGGACACTGCTACATTGATCACTCACTAAAATGTGACCTGTTTGTTTAATAAGTAATAAAAACACAACAACTTTTCTGTTATTTTGGAACTTAGAAAATGAGCCTGTTTCTCAGAGACGTTATGCTAAGATGAAAGCGGCTGTAGCTTCAGATTTAGCATACAGAAACAAGTGATATCTTTGCATGCAATCCTCATGTAAGGAAGCAGATAAGAATATTGCCTTTCATATTTTTATTGACAATATTGTTGATAATCAATGACTCGTTTCTTCCAGTAGTTCTATCTTTGGGCACATGGGTTTTACCTTCCTAGAAGTAAACGCTTGCTGTAATTAAAACAGAATATATTTTGGTTTTGGAGTTGTTGTTGTTTTGGAGTTGTTCGAGAAAAGAAGAGGCTTTTGAAATCTTTACCTCGTACTCTTGGAATGAAAATCTGTGTTACTATTTACTGAAATTCTTTAGCTAAAAAATAAATCAGTAGTCAGTGCAATCGTAACCCTCACCATTTAAAGGATAAAGCACATTCTTGTAAGGTGAGAGCAAAAATAAATCCAATTCCGAGAACTGATCTCAGATATAACAAATGTTCAGAGAGACGTGTATCTCTGCCCTTGAGGCCAACTCATGTCTTACAGTATGCGACTGGCCACACAAAGCAGCAGAATATGCAAATGGCTCCGTTAAAGCCTTAAAACTCCCCTCATGTCACCTCTTCCTGATGCACGTCACAGGCATGGCCGTAATTCTGGGCGCTTCCTTGAGTGAAAATCCAATGAGCGGGACGTCAGGGTTTAATGGCTGACGCAGTTTGAATAAATATGGCCGTCATCTGCTGTTGGCGTTATGTGATTTACAGTCTCATAAAGTGGAGGAAATCAAAACCAGCTCCTAACAACGCATTCATATTCCCTGGAGGAGGAGGGTCCCATTTGAGCTGTGATCTGAATGCCCTGTGACCCCCCCCCTCCTGGGATATAAACTATACTGCAGACATCAGACATTAAGCCCTCTCAGAGCTCCTTGTCCTCCTGAAACAGCGACCTGTATGTCAATTAGCGCTCTGCGGTGTCTCCATGGCGAGGACTCAGCTGTCTTTCAGCTCCACTCCTTTAACGCTGAACGAGTGAAATGGAATTACCCAACAATCGTGTTATTTAGAGCGACTTTCTGACATGGATAGCGGCGCAGATCAGGAACATGAGACGGACGGAGACAGGGGCCACGGCTGGGGCCCCTTTACTTTAGTTTTAATCGACTCAGGATGGTCGATTTCTCCAAGTTCAAACCTTTGCATTCAAAGGTCTTCCTGCATCTAATCCATTTAAGGTCCTCATTAAATATTCTCATGAATCTTTTATGATGTTCTAATGGCAATCTGGATTTGCATTAACAGGCCTTCATGATTTCTTAGTTTATGATGATTGGCATTTACAGCGTGTCCATCGGCTCTGCTGTTATACAGTGCAGTGTAGCAGGATTTAATAAACGTGTCTTATAGAAGGAGAGTTGTGTGTGTATAAGCTAAGACTTAGTAAAGTATGGAAGAACTATCAGTTAAAAGAAGATAGATATGCATATAACAGAAATGCAACATCTTTGACATTACTGAAAAACTACAACTACCCTAAGGGGAGGAAATACTACTGCCTACAATTCCCAAATGTTTTTGTGCTGAAACAATACTTAGTATCTTACTTTGAGAAATCCTAACATGTCCGATTAGTCGGATTTGAAGCTTGTTCCAACACAAACAGACCTAAATAAGTAACAGTGTGACAAAAACAATAGATTTTTTTTTTATGAATCTGACCAGACATTCTTTGCTTTGATCACTTTCTTACTGTGCTGGAAACATATTTAGTTTGGTGCAAAAAGCAGACCTTTCTGAGATCTACTTGAGTTTCAGTATTGAATATTGGAAGTGAAATGTGTATCTGAAGCTTCTCGTTGATTTTCTCCACAGGAGGACTTTGCCCTGCAGACTGTTGATCACATCTGGATAAGGTGGGATCGTTGTTACTCTACAGAGAAGTGTCCTTACTTTGAGGGGGGGGGTGTGCGACGGTCCCTCGGGGGCCCGGCTCCAGCAGCTCCAGCTCCATGTAGTTGAGCTGCTTCTTGGATGTGGGACTAACAGGAATATTCACATATGTCACACCTTCACTGCGAGGCCTTTCAAGAAGCGCCGCCTCGGGCGAGAACACAAACACGGCACCTGGGGAAGTGAGAGTAACGCCATTTGAATCAAAATCAGGACCAGTCCCTGCCTATTCTAACATTTGGTCCTTTCCGAGAGGTGTGAACAGTTATTTTTTACAAAACCCCAGAGGACCAGAACCAACTAGATTTGTGAATAGTGTACAGTATCTCCATGCCAACCAACTTCATTTTCATCCCCAAAAGCCTTTAATACACATAAAAGAGGCATTCAGGTGCATCGGGATGACTTTATCTTTATTAAAATGAACAGTTATTTCGCCGCATATTACATGGGGATTGGTTTCCATTTTATTCAGCTTGTTCATTGTAATAAAAACTGTCCCTCTGCTACAGAACTCCATCAGGATTACCTTGACAATACATCCTCGGATATATTTGTCTTTTCATGGGATTTTACGTCAGAAAGATAGCACCAGTCCGACATTTATTTGAAAGGGTTTTATTGTCATTATGACTTTAATTAAAAGATAAGTGTGGAGAAAAGGAGAGCTGGTGTTATTTTAACACTTTGTCTGTTCTCCATCAGAAGCTAGAAGATGTCTCCCCCTCAGGTGAGTAACTCTTGAGGCAGTCCTTATCAAAGCCTGCTGTTAATTAAAGTCATTCAGACAGATATCTGCACTGAAGTCTCTATATTACAGCAGCAGATCTGGGATCAGCAGCTACACTGGCACACTGTGCATTCCTCTGGATTGCCTTCTCCCCCCAGAGGCTCATTTTACATGATCTGAGGCCCCAGGGATAGATGATGGGATGCATTATGGACATTTTGTTTTATGAGGCAGTTAAACCCAGAGTTATTGCCCTTATAATCCCACCCTCAGCTCCATATTTAATTCCTTGCAAATGTAATGTTTTTGTGTTGGCAAATCAGGTTTCTAAGTAAAACCCAACACAGCAGAAGCAGGTTGGGGATTATACTGAAATTATTTCATATTCTCATTTCTTAAAATGTATAAACACCAACAGAATATCTTTGAAGAAAAATAAATGTTGCCTCAAACAATTGAACTGAACGCTCTGGTCTGTGTGTTGGACAGGAAGAACTACAGAGTGTCCTTCAGTGCTCTTGAAAGGTAAGATTGACTAAACCTAGAAGCCACCAAGGACAAAAGAGAAGAGCCAAATCTGTTTTGCTCAAGGTATTTCTAATGCAGTTTGAGAAGAACTGCATTAAAATATGTGCATATATTTCAACCTGCAGGGCGTATTGGCCAACTCTGCCCGTGTCAACAATGCCAGTAAAGAGTTAAAAAAACTTGTTTTGAGTGAATTTGCATAATCTGAATATTGTGTTCTCTCCAAAGAATAGAAAGTAATGAAAGAAAGAAATACTGAAATGTATCCAAACAGATTTGAGTGAAGTGACTGGAAAATAAAGTGACTGCTTTCTGAAGTCAACTAACTTCAGCACTGTTCATCAGAATCACATTTAGGGCCACATGCTTTCTGGATAAAGTCACTTGTTTTGACTTATCATTATAAAGTAAAGCTGCACTTTCCACAGGATTAGTAACCAATAACTTAATGAAGATTTTTGGTCTAAATATTTTGAGATTTATGGATTTTTTGTATGTATTAACAATCAATATTAACTGCTAAATGATTACAAAGCCCTCGTTAGCTTATTAACAATTCACACTTATTCAGGGGTGTGAGGTTTCACTGCCAATATGTAGTGTGTGTGATGCACTGCATGTCAGCTAAAACTAACTCACTGATGAACAGAGAACTCTTCATAACAAAACAACACCCATACAAATATTCCCAACAAAGACTTCAACTGAGGGCCTCTCCTACTTGTGTGAAAATATTGCAAAAACTATGAAATTCTGCATCAAATATTTATAAATCCATGCCATTTGTTTTGATTCAGCTGTGTTGTAATGAAACCTTTCCATATTTGTAATCCAGTAAAGGATTGTACATTTGTTTGTAGAGGCTGGGCAATGTGCAGCGTTTGGCGACAAAAACAACTTCACCTGCTGTCGCCTCTTTCTGAATGGCAGCGGCTCCAACCAGCAGCTGGAGGCGGGGCCCCCGGGGGCCAATCACAGATCAGAGAGGAGCAGCCTTATCCCTAATTGATCAGACACCCAGCAGCAGTGTGGGGTTTATAATGGCCGCCATTACAGCAGTGGATTAGCCCGCAGCTATAGGAGGAGGGACTCTCTATAGAGCACTCTGCAGAGCCTCTGGGGGGGGGGGTCACAGAGTCAAAAGGGGAAACACGGCTCTAAGATGTGTGTGTTGGGGGAGACCGGTTTAAGCTGGTTTTCCATCTTTCTACATCCCTCTGCAGGAAGGCATTGAGGAGGTGAAAACATGTACAAGTGTTCCCAAAGGAGTGATGACTTTACTCAAAAGGACAATCCTTTAGAGACATATTCCATTTCATGTGTTCAATAATTGAAGAGAATAAAAGACGATGACTGTTAAGTAAACAAACCTACACATTATTAACATTATTTCTAATTAAAACGCATCTTTCTACCCAGGTTCACCTGCCTGACTTCATCAGGAAACTATTCTTTTCAGATCCCATCCTTTGAGCCAGCAGGAGCCCCTGATGATGGAAACAAAGCCAAGGCCCTGCCAAAGACCCCACTGCCAGGGTCTCTGCGCTGATAGGTGAGTGTTTTCGAATCACCTAATCCGGATTTTGTAGTTGATGAATTTGATAATGAATATCAGAGCAACAAGTCAGGATATGAAATAGACATTCCCAAGTCTTATACAGCAGTCCAGCAATAAAACAGTTCACCAGGGTTTCATTGAATAATCAGGCATGCCTCAAAACTGATTTCCTACTATTTGTCACCAACATGTTACTAGATCCATTTTGCACAAACTGTCAAAATGACAATAGTTAACCAGTAAAAGTGCCACAAGAACAACCTGAACAGACGTCTCAGAATTCAAACAAACTGTTGATATAGCGTCATCAATCATTGCTGCTATCTTTCATAAAAGTGTTACAAACTTCTCTGACATCAACAGTGACTCATTTCAGTTGCCATGGAGCTGGCCTCCTTACATAACCCGAACTTGGTTGCCTCCTGCGCATCCCCGTCCATTACCTGCTCGCTGGTGTGTGTGTGTGTGTGTGTGTGTGTGTGTGTGTGTGTGTGTGTGTGTGCGTGCATACATACATGGTGACAGCAGCTGAGACTCCCTCAGCAGGTGTGCATTAGACTGAGGGCATGTTGCAGGCTGAGGGACGCCTAAGTGGCCGAGCGTCCCCTGACAGCGGTCCTCTCCTGACACAATGGGGTCTTACATAACTCCAGTGGAAGGCTTACATGAAATGCAGATTGATTCATAAGTGTTCCAGCTGCAGTGAGCCCTCCACTACACAATGACCTGAGGCTTTTATTCTGAGTTATATTAATGTCAACACAAATGACTGAAGTGACTAACACCGCTGCTACATTCTGTCCCTGCAGATACTCTCTCTACTACATCAGAAGGATCCGTCCCCTGACCCAGAAGGCAACACAGGCCCTGGTCCAGGCTCTTATCATCTCACGCCGTGACTACTGCAGTGGCTCAGGCCCTTCCTACATTCAGGACATGGTTAACCGTACACTCCAGTACTTCGCTCTGCATCGGCCAATCGGCTTGCTACTCCTTGCAAAATGATGATTTCTTTTTTCAAACCTCTATTCCTAAGAGCAATATGAATGATTTGTAATCTACTAAAAGAAGCATTTGATGTTTTTGTAAATTAATTTCTTGGTTGTTGCTGGTGAATCACAACTTTGACCCTGATCTGTTGGCTCCAGACATTATGCAGAACTGTATGCTATGTTCTCTATGAAGACTGTAGGAGCCACATATGAAGTATTTTCTGTGTTTGTTACGGTACCTGCTTTTGAGTCACTATAGGTGGTGGGGGCGTGTCATTGGATTTGTGTGGTGATGTTTGCGGTTATATCCGGTTGTTTTTACCTGCGCACTTTGTGATAGATGAAGGGGGAGTGAGCTGGAGAAGGACAATTGTTGTTGACCGCACCCATAAAAGAATATATGGATATGGACTATTGAATGTTTGCTTTGGAAATAAAAGGTCAAACGCATACTGGTGGAAAGAGAGAGTTTTTGCGCGTGGTCCACGATGTTTTTCTCTTGTTTAGTCCCTCGCGGCACTTTGTTTGGAATATTACTGCTGCAATAAAGACAGCTTCCTGTCAATGTCACAGTCCATTAACCTGAATAAAGTCAAGTAAACATTATGCGTATTGACAATAAGTGTTCCTGTTTGTGTGCCATTTCAGACACTTAATGCTTCATTTGATTTGATTTATTCATAATACACCTGAAACCAACCGGTTTGCTGACTCAGGTGCATGACTCATATCTATTGGCTTTATATAAGTGGCTCCTGGTTACTGTAAGAGGCCGGGGTAATGCACAGCTGAAAACTGACAATGGTCTCACCTTCAGTCTCCTGCAGCAGCCTCTGCTGACTGTAGCTGCCCATCAGCTCGTACTTGCTTTTCTCCTCTGCCTGCAAGACACAGAGCACTGTTGATCAGAATATGCACAATGTGTCATATGTTTACAGAGGAAGGGTACACATTAGGAGTATTAATATACAGACGCAGAAATTCACTGAGAGCTCCGGGCTGCGGTACGTCTAACACTGTCCGCAACGGCTCATCAGCATGGATGGATAACCAAGCAACCTCTGTGAGAACAGCTATCATGGGATGACCGTTGGTGGAGTGCAGCCACATTGCTTTCGGTCTCATTAGGCGCGTTCACACCAAGTACTTTTCCCACAAAGGTTCCTGAGAACTACGATTTAGTTGCGTTCACACCAAAAAGTCCCAGGAACTAAATTAGTTCTAGAGAACCTTTTTTACCCCCTTTTCAGTCCCTGATAGAGAGCAGGGACTTTCGTGGGAGAAAAAGGTTCCTGTGTCTGATTGGCTGGGCGGAATGCAAACCACGCCCCGTTAAACTCCCAAAAACTTTTGTGAAGCCGCCATTTTATTATCCTCGCATTGCATTATTAGCATTAGCATTAGCCCAGCGCAGAAACGCAGAGATACTAACTTATGACAACACAACATAAAACATGGGAGCGGTGGAGATGAGGAGTAGTCGGCGTTCTGGCCGTTTACTCGGAAGGCTTCAGTAGAAGCTGCTGGGAGTCCCAGCAGCTTCCACTGAAGCCAGTCCCTAACTCCGGGGACTTCCGGCCAGGGATTTTGGGCGGCAGTATACGCCGTGAAGTTGTTTGCGGCCTGCCAGTAAACCCAAAGCAGAAGAAGAAGAAGTTACGTCAGCGGCTTCATTTGCCTAATCCACCCCCAGGAACTAATTTCCGGTGTGAACGCGATCTGTAGAACTAAAGAGTTCTCAGGAACCTTTGTGGGAAAAGTACTTGGTGTGAACGCGCCTATTGAGGCCCACTGTGCACAGAAAGAGTGACTCCTTTAGGGGGAGAAGGGGTCCACTGATACTAGGGATGCCAGCAATTATTCGATTTTTCGAATATTCGTTACAGTCTCCATAATCGAAAATTATTTTTTAAATTCGATTTTATTTATATATTTTTTTATTATTATTTATGTTTTTCTTTTTTTTCCTGGCTTAGTTTAAACCAAAATGTAGACTAATGCTAATAATAGTATTAATAATTGTAAATGGCCATTGGTCACACCACCAGTTTGTTTTACTGTAAACTTGGAGGAAGCCAGCAGCGCAGGCGAATCATCGATTAATATTCGCCAGGGCTGTCCGATTTTCGAATTTGATCAAAGTCAGTTTCTGGCATCCCTGACCGATACGACTGTAGTTCATATTTACAGAGAAGGACAGCTGATGGCCAATATGTTTTATTGTTTCCACATCTGATCAAATAAAAATGTATGTACCACTGCTGTTGTCTGCATTGTCTCTGTTCACACTTATTTGACATTGAATCGTTTTAGTGAACTAAAGAGCATTAATCAGCAGATTTGCCTTGCTTCTAAGAGACACAACCAAAATGTTGTAAATGTACATAAATAAAACAATTAATCAACAATGTTAGCGTTGGTGCTTTACCTGGTTTTGAGTCAGGAAATGCTCAAACTAAAACTATGCCGATTAGTCAATGACTCTGGCTACGACAACAGTTTACGTTTGAGGTCATATGATCCAAAAGTGTATCTATTGCTGCTTGACTTTTCTTCCTTTTGCCTAACACTAAATATATTAAGTACAGAGCTTACACAATGTTCAATTACAGATATAACTCTAGCCTTTTCTAAAAAAAGAGTTAATCTCATCATATCAGACACGTTTGGCTGAACCCACAGAGAGACAGTGGAAGTGTGTGAGTGGTCCATAGTGTAAAGCGGATTAGAGAGTTTTGATTGGCCTACCTCAGAGTTCCTCTCCATGATCTCATAAGCAGGATCAGCTCTGCGTCGCTCCTCTTTGCTATTAAGCCTTTTGTCTGGTGGGAGAGAAAAACAGTTTTAAATATAAGCCTTTCCGCCACTTGTGCCAATGCCAGGAAATACATTAATCCCACATTGTACTTTCCTAAACCATCTTGTGATCAAGTCAGAGAAAGTGCTTTCTGGGTACACATTTTTCCAAACGAATCAAACAAAAGCTCACCTCACAATAAAACAACTATTACACAAGAATCCCTTCCGAAGCAAACAGTTTAGTGCCATTACTTGTCCTAGAAACATGTTAAACAAAAATCAAATTTACCCATACACATTTTCGACATACTAAACCATGCTATTTGTGCATAATTTCAACATTCTATATTATGCAGTTTTTCACAGAATTCGGACATTCTTTACTGTGTCGTTTTGTGATTAGGTTAACTTTAACACACGTTTTAAAGCTTTCATAGGAGAGCCTATACTGCATACTTCACAACCCTCAAGAGCTCAGTTGGACAAGCAACACAACAAAAGGAATCATCAGAGTGAAGAGAGAAAACAAGCAGCTCATTCAACAAAGCAAGCCAGGCGGGAAAATTGAGAACAAAAGTAGGAAACAAAGAGATCCACTTCAAAAAGGGCTGAAGAGGAAAAGGACACCGAAGAAATCGTGGAGGCTTTGTTGTGAGTTGAAGAGGAAACTGAAGAAGAGGAGACTGGAGAAGAGGAGACTGAAGAAGAGGCCTCTTACCTTCACTGGCCACTGTGGGAACATTTATCTCTTCGTGCTGACCCTGGATCTGTGATCTCTCGCTGGGAGTCTGACGGAGTGCTTCCTCATCAGCAGCTGCTTCCTGCTCTTGGCTTTTCTTCAGGCCAGTTGGAAAGGTATGGGAGGTTGAAGTATTCCTGTTGCGGAACATTTCAGAAGGTGCAACCCGTGGAGCGGGCTGGCAGTGGTCCGCTCGACACTTTAAACAGTTCTCATAGATGGCATGTCTCTTGTCTGGCTGTGGATCGGTCGGGACACAGGGGCTTTTTGGTGCAGATTTGAGCTCATTTCCAAATCTAGGGCTCATTGACTCATAGAGGTTCAGGCTGTTAGTCTTGGCCTCCGGAGAGCCCAACAGCTCAGCAGGCAGACTGGCTAGTTTCTCTCTTCCCTTCCTTGGCAGCAGTGAATCCTCACTCGTCCTCACTGCTGGCGTCTCTGAGCGGGAGAAGCTTCCAGGGCCAGGAGAGGCACACCGTTTCTCCAGACTTCTCCTCGCTGCATTAGTGCATGGACTGCATGGTGATTTGTCAACACTTTGATCTGCTGGGTTGAAAATATGATGTTCTGGAGGCAATACACGCTCAATACAATTTGATTTCTGCTCAAAATCAAATTAGGGAGCTGCAGCCCATGAAGAATGTTTATTATCAAACATGCATCAACTCTGTTCATGCAGGCAAGGATCAATGCATGCTGTGTGTATGGAATATCTGACTCATTTCACGCACCTGGTATGGCAGGCGCTGCTGAACCGCTAACTGGGACGTACGGCGTTCCCTGTGAGGAAAAACAGAGAATTACAGAAATGAGATTCTTAATGCAAACTGTGTTGATTAGATGAATAATGAAGTATCCTCTTCTCGTCAAAGCCTGCATACATTGGTGTTCAGACGTGGGGCCTTTTGAAGGAAAAGGCTGTAAATGATCTCCATTTTATTCAACTGGCATCAATCCCATAAGAAAAGAGAAAAACCAACAGAGCGTCGATCCATCTCTCAGCGCTTTCACAGACTCTCTGACAATCGGTTTGGTCCAAGTGAAGATATTCATTTGGGGAAATGGTTCACAAATACCAACTTTTCATATAAAAAAAGGCAAAATATGTTTCCTATAACAGTTGGGCATGGTGTTGTTAAGCACACGCTACTTGGGAGTACTTTCAGCTGTAACATGTAGTACTAGAGCAGGGGTCTCCAACCTTTTTTACGATGAGAGCTACTTAAAAAAAATAAAACAAGTCGTGAGCTACTTTTACTTATTAAATATTTAGCACATTTTAACATTATTATATGCTGACCTTTAACCTTTGTGTGCTGTTTGGGTCTGTGGGACCCGTTTGCAGTGTTTACTAAAAGAAAATGTATTCCATTTAATTATTTTAACCTGCTTTATTTGGGGGTGGACCTCACATCCTCTAGGGGGGTCCGGGGGCATGCACCCCCGGGAAGATCTTTTTTTTTTTAAATGTTGAAGTTAAATGCATCAATCTGGTGCACTTTGAGCACAACATGAATTTATGGATACAGCTCTCAACACTCAGAGGAAAGGGAGATGAATACTTTTCAATAATCCAAACATATTTGTAAAGTGGGGGGACACAAACGGGATTTTGAAAAGTGCGGGGGACATGTCCCCCTGTCCCCGGTGGAAATGAGGCCATGCGTGTGTGTGCGTCAAGTGCAATAAATAAATAAATATGCAAGTTGCAACACACACACAGAGTAAAACTCTGTCCCTCATGTGTTGTATAGGCTGGCATGACTGGCTGTTCAATGGGGCTGATGTAGATTCTGCCAGATGGAAAATCACGTGTGCGCTGAGCTGCCGCTCCTCATTGCTTTTCTTCCCGACTGCAACGCTGGTCCCGCAAATCAAGCAAGAACGTGACAACACAGTACAGAAGAGAATTCAGGTTGCACAACATTTTGGATTCATTCAATCCCATCCCTCTATCCTACACCCACCCCCCCACTTCACAAGATCTGGCAACATAAAAAGTGTCATGACACAGGGGTTAAAATGTATTATATTGTTGGATTAATAGGCAATATATATATGTAGATATGTTTTCTTTTGAACTGGTCCTTTAACTGTGAGCCCATTAACACTACAGGGTGGACTGTGTGATGAATGCCTCCCACACTGCTGCTGTCTGATGAACTCATGTTTCATTCATTACACTGAGGACTGGCTGGAGGGAAACAAAGGAAACGGGACATTTTGTTCAGGTAATCCATGACGGTTTGCCTTTTTTACGTAAATGCACTGCCAGCAGGGGGGGCTATATGTTTGGAGTATTCTAAACTCACAGCTGATATGGAAACACAGGACAAAGAAGTATTGATAAGGATTTCCAAAGAAAGTATAGTTTAATATCGGCCTCAAAACTCATGCAATACGGTTTAATAATATGCGTCAGGTTTCTACTGAATTACATCGATTACACTACACCGAAAAATAAACTATTAATATAAAACTGGTATTTATGATGTAAGACTATTCATCACAAACATCAAAAAACAAGGTAAAGTTTAAACAATAAGTAAATTATTGTAATAGTGATTGTCAGAAAATTAGTCGTTAACTATTTTTATAGCAGATTTTATGTTTTTTTTTACCTCTGGGTTCAGCAATGCAATGTGAATATTTGCCTATATTCTTAGACATTTATTTATCTAGATATCTTTGGGTTTTGAATTGTTGGCATCTCAAAACAAAATATTTCAATATGTGAACTTGGAATTACAAAATGTTTATGGGCATTTGTAAGTCATTTCTGTCATTTAATGGACCAAACGATTCAGCACAAAATCCCCATAATGAAAATGATTATTAGTCCCTGCCCTCAAACAAATATGAATGAAGGAGACATCTCCGGAACACCACGACCTACCTTGGAGACAACCGAACCTCATGTTTAATATGGAGATGTTTTACCTTAAAGTCTATTTATCGTTGGTATAAAAGCCCTACATACATTTGGACGACATTCAGTTTGGAGATAACACAAACCTTTTGCCTAACAGTTTTGAATCAAGAAATAAAATGGATGTAGAGGAAGTGAATAACGGCACTCACAAGGTCTTAATCAGCTTGATACAGTGATAGAGTCAAACTAAATTAGCTGCTGAAACCCTCACTTGTTAAACAGACGGACCATGGGACTGCAGGTTGTTTTGACACCGAACGCAAAGGTCCTATTGACAGCGGGCGATGGAACAGATGATACAGGGAGGAGAGCGCCTGCTCACACAAGCTGCTGCTGAACAACAGGAGTTATACAGCAGAGTGTGCTCAGGAGAACATTTGAATCCTGTTGCTTTCTTTAAAAAGGTACGTTTAGAGGCAAACAGACTGATGACGAGAATATAGGTTCACTTATATCTGAGCTGGCAGAAGAACGACATAAACAACATAAATATATTTCTGCTTACCTTAAATCCACCACAAACGGAGCAGATGGTCACAATGGTTTTGGGGACCGATGTGTCACTAGAGGGCGTCACCTTGGTTTTCTTGCTCTCCTCTGAGGGGCCGTCTAGTTGTACATTTGTTGACTGTGTGTCAGTGTTTTCCGAGTGACCCTCGGGGGTCTTGGCGCTGCTTTGATCCCCCTGTGCTGAGTCTGTTGTTGGGCCTGGAGAGGCAGGAGCGTCCTTAGTTAGCATGGAGGGTTCGTTGTCTCTGGCCGTGGCCCCCCCACGCCCCTCCTGTAGCACACTCCTGGGGCTGTCGTACAGATACCTCAGTGATGAAGGTGTTCGGTATTCATGTGCAGGTGCAGCGGAGCAAGTACAGGGGCTCAGGTCTTGAGCCAAGTGGGGGGGCAGGCTGAACACAGAGCCGAAATCCTCCCCGGGGGGGAGGTCCAGGCTGCCTGTGTAGGAGGAGAAGCTCCCCGAGTAGGAGGAGTGGCTGCCGGTGGCGATGCCGCTGTCAGAAGAGCTCTGACGGCCGATCTCCTGGAGCGGCCGGGGGGTCTTTGGGGCGGGCCGGGTCACCCCCCCCTGGGTGACGGAGAGCTTCTCCATGCTCTGTAACGCCAGTTTAGCTCCAACATGGCCGACGCTATCAGATGGGTTGGAGGACGGCTCAGTCCAAATGGCCATCCGGCTGCTCATGCTGCTTTCTGATTGGCTGGTGTCTGAAGCGTCCGAGGAGCCGGACATGCTGCGGTCGTCCCCCCCGGCAGACGCACAGTACGACACTGCCAAGACACACAACATTAACGACACTTTGATGAATGTATTCAACTGTAACAAAACAACTTTTTATAATCAACTAAGCATAGATAAAGCATCACAATATCATTTATCATGTATCCATAACATAACATGAATAATACATCACATGTGAGAGAACTGACGATTCTAACTTAATTGAAATGTTAAGTGCAGCATCATTATGTTTTGGTGTGGAACAGAGGTCACTGCAGTGAAAGAATGATCATGTGTGCTTTGGGATGGTTATTAAATGTAGGGATATATATTCAGAGCACTTTTAGCTTCAGCTCCAACTTTTAAACCGCAGTAACATGCTGTACCTGTGCTGCTCCGGTGAGAGAGCATGCTCAGCCGTTTCTCCAGCTCCTGGGCGTCATGGTTCAACTTCTCCTCCGAATTCGTCTGACTGCCACTGGGGTCTGTACGGAGAACATCAACGAGTAAGTCACAAAGGCTTAATTGATATATATATATAGAAATCTACAGACTTAAAACAGCAGACCTTAAATTAGCGCAGTCAAAGTAAATAAGTGACGACACGGTAAGTTTAGCATGTCTTGCTACTGTCACTGAGACGTGGGATCAAAAGAGACGCAGCCGAGGACTCTGAGGCACAGCTGTGGAAACACATCCAACAACAACAAGGGACACTTTGAACCACAAGGGTCTCACTCACAATATAGTTGAATAATATGTGAGCAACAAGATGTTAGTGAAAAGACTAACTTACAAGCACTTTGCCAGGTGTGTTGTGAACTATGATTTGTCCTATGAGCATAACAGGGACGTAAAGAGGGTCACACAGGGGAACACCTTGCAGTAGTTATGCAACATACAGGGTTATTTTTAGCGCTGCCACGTGGCTGTGTCGGTACGCGCTCTGCTGCTCGTGCTGTTCAAGGATCTCATGTACCCGCCACCACCAAGGTCAACTTTAAAACTGGATCGATACTTTCCCTCGACCCCGCAGCAGTGACGTGGTAATGACACCGAATTCCTTCATGTGGAGGATCGATTTAAAAAAACAGACTGGGGAAAAACGTTATATTAGTTTAGTAAGCCTTGCCATTAGTGTCCCTCGTCTCATTAAGTTGCATGTTGATTTTAATTTTCTTTTAACTTCCTGTTGCAGTTCCATCCTAAACTAAAAGACGAATGCTCTTTGTCCCCCTATTTTTTGCCAAAAAGCAAGTCCTTCATTTGTCAAACGTGCATCTCAACAATTCAAACAGTTAATAAAGCTTCACGTGTTCAGGAAATGTACTTCTCCCGAGGAACACTATCTAGAGTGTAGTTTAGAGGATCATATTAAATGTTTTACTATTACACTTGTAAATTCTAGCGAGAGCGTTCTGATTAAATCAATGGTTTTTCTCATAACTAGATGTGTTTCTCATTATTTTTTATTACATTTTTTTATTTCATTAGGACAAAAATGTATCTTGGTGCTTTCAAAGGCTCGGTGTGGCATGTAAATCGAATAGTACAAAATATGCCAGAAGATTTATAATCATTTCACACTGGTTGTCATGGCTGCAACCGAAAGGTATTGTTCTGCCTCTGCTGGGACTCAAAAGCTGTGAAAAATGAAATCAAAGTTTCCCACAGCATCTCCACTTACTGATGCTGTTTGATAACCAGCTGAGTGAGAGTCATCAGTCTCATATGACACCCTCACGCCTTTTAAGAAGGTTTCCCTGTGCAACCAACAGCCTCCCAGCATGACCAAAGAACAGCCATGAGATCAGAGGACTGGGGTAATATGTTTGACTGACAGGTGTCCCGGCCTATCACACAATGAATTTCTCGGGCTTACTTATCCTGGCTAAGCTCCTTTAGACTAACGCCTCCTCCCCTCCGACCAAAATAGGATTGTTTTGGCTGCTGCAAACAACACTCCTCCCTACATGTCTGCTGTTATGAGATAAGGAGGAAATACACAGACACTAAAACAACTATAATAGGAGGATAGAATTGTAATCACCAATCATGAAATAGTTTATAAAATACTAGTTTGAAAGGAACAGTTTGACATTTTGGGAAATACGACTCATCTGATGTTAAATATGAAGCTATAGCCATCAGTTGGTTAGCCTAGCATTAAGATTGGAAGCAAATGGAACTTAGCTACATACATAAAATGAACTTGGAAAGAAATCCTAGTTATATACATTCTCCTCTTTATATTGAAGCAGCCATTTTAATGTGTATTCCCTATGGCTTGATTACTTGTTAAGTAATGAGAGGCAAAGAGAGGTGGATACAGTACAGCATGGAGGGTGACAAACATCAAGGCAATTCATGAGAACAGAGGCGGAGAAATGTAGTCAGGAACAGAGACACAGACTACCAGGTGAGAAAGTGAGAGACACAAGAGTGGTGGGGGGCTGAGTACGATATGAAGGGGGGAGGGGGAGGGGGCAGCAGTGGAATGCTGGGGATGAGGTTACATACATGCTCGGAGTGATTAGGAGTCTTTGGCTGCTCTTCAGGTGTGAAGCAAGTTTTTGACCCCTCGCTCTCGCCTCGACATCCTCCCTGCTATTTATTCTACTACGCAGCACAATAATAGGAGTATGAGCTCAACCTGTGATTGGGCGGCGAGATGTGTGAAAACCAGAATATCCACGAGGCCCCGCGTGCGTGGGAAGCTCTCTGTTGAGTGGCACTCTGGGAGAGATTTCTTTCTTTTTTCTTGTGTTGAAAATCAAAGTGTTAAAGTGGACAGCAGGAGAACAGAACATGTCTCACAGCTTTAGTAATATTAGACCTGGCATCCAAGCTGGTAAAATTACAAAAAATAAAAGCATTAGATAGATAAGGAACAGGGATGGTCAATAGAGACATTTGAAAATAATATCAAACCAGTGTTTAGAAGAAGACAGGAAAACTCTCCATAGAGTCGAGGATTTTAAAGTCGAGTGATAATTCTCTCTGTTGATTTTTCATTACTTTTGTTCTTTTCCCATCTTAAGCCCCATTATTAATAGCAGGTTTGAATTCAAGAATAAGATTCACTTCAAAGTTGAGGAGGAACATAGGCTCTATTATTCTTCATTATAAGTGTGTTGTTATAAATTTGACTGGTGGATTAACTCCGAAAATTGTGAATAACGCTAAACACAATTTCCCTGAGACTACACTGATGTTTTTCCAAATATTAGCTTTTCCTGCTCAACAACCCAAACCCCACGTTCAATCCCGTAACACAAAGAGAAGCAGCCAATCTTCACTATTGTGAATCTGGAGCCAGGTGAAGGCTGCAATTTGTGCTTGAAAAATGCAGATTACAAAATTGATTATCCTATTAAGGATTCATTTTCTATTCCGCTTTCAGCCCTGTTACAGAATCACAGAGGAACTGCAGTGAAAAAGACAACTTTTAGAAAGTAAACTAGTCTCTCCGTCGGGTTTGCCCAATGGGTGGCAGGAGAATAGCGGAGGACGAGCCTCAGCTGAAGCTCATTATAAAAACGAACTTCACTGTTACACAGAAAGTTTAGAAATATTCCACTCTATTATCTTTGCAAAACCTTTTCAAGTATTACCAAATGGAGATCATGATTTCCACACATTGAGTCATTGTCTATCATTTAAGGAGTGTGCCTGGCACCTTGACAAATTGTAATCTTGCCAGACAACCCTGCTGTAATACGAGGTTAAAAAAAACATAATGGCAATTTGGAACGCAGCCCACCCCCAGCACTATACCCTCCACCATACATAGACTACAATTCAATTTGCTGCCTTAACCACAGTTAGTACAGTAGTCATCCTCTCACTGGTGTATAAGGTGACCCTAAGCTCTATACGCACCCCGGTACACTTAAGTCAGGGGTTAGGATGTTTGACTACAGTTATAAATTGCTGCTTAGGGTAACCCAATTACATAAATAGTATCTGTCAGTCATAATTTGGTGACTTCAAAGCACATCCATCAGCGGAGGAATCGTCTGACTCATTCTGCCAGAAAGGGTTGGATTCTAGGAAGGCAGCAGTCGTAGCTCTGACAGTTCCTGGAGGCCCCGGAGGGGAGCCGTGCACGCTTTGATTCACTTTAAATGGCAAATGTTGACTTAAGTGTTTGCTCATATTCCTTGGCAACAGCGAGGCTATCCATTAACTGAATAAGCCTCACATGAAGACCCACCTTCTCTTTAAAGAATAGCACTTAAACTTAACGTTCCCTGTCTCTATAGATCTCTGACACCCTGTTGCTTCTCATGTCCTCTCCAGTGAAACAGCTCCGGTACTGACCTGGCAGGACGGGCCGCAGTCCAAACGGGCCCCTGGTGGGGGAGATGCCTCTGACGATGCAGTCGAATAGAAAGCTGATCTGCTCGCTCTCAGCAGACGAGAGCAGAAACACACCGGCCCCTGTAGAGAGCACACTTTATCAGTGTCACGATAGATTTGCAGCAACAGATATACTGTAATTAGTACAATTTTATTAAATCAAACAGTCATGAGGGAAGTCTTAAAACAGGTGGTGTAGGGGTAGAGGAATGTGAGAATTTGGTGAGGGATATTGCCAAATATCTGGAATATGCTCCCAGAAACCTGCAGGTCCGCTGCAACTCTTTTAAATCCAGGCTGCTTGTAATTGAGCTATTCACATCTTATACTGCACTGTAACTTTTATTCATGTACCCGTGTTATTCATGTTTTATTATCTTTGCTTTTTAATGTTTCTAATGTATTTTATGCTCTTAATGTCTTTGATTTTTGTAAAGCACTTTGAATTGCCTTGTGTTGAAAAGTGCTATATAAATAAACTTGCCTTACAAGAGGCAATAAATAAGAAATATATCACAAGAAATGTGTATCATTTGAAATGCTTGAACTGTAGCGCCAATACTATGACTATTATTATATGACTATTATTCACAACATCATTTACTGGGTGGTTCTACATCTGACGTCTACCTCTTGTCCCCTGAAGTCATTAGGAATAATCAACAATGCTGATCCATTAAATTAACACTTCAGTCCGGAGCAACCGATCGACTGATGTCCCTCAAGCCATGCTGCTTTCAAAGCTTTCTATGAAAAATGATTAAATATAAAATATTTGCCGGTTTGTTTTCTGTCGAATAGATTAGATTGTGTTATTGTTCTGTTTGGGCGAATACTAAAATCATCTATTCAAAGTACCTTTCTTGGAGAAATAAAAGCGTGTTTTTTTCTACAAAATCTTAAAGGTGACATGTCATGCTTTTCCGGTTATTACCCGTCCCCTTCTGTGTTATGAAGGTTTTTCTGTGTATTTGTAGGAGTATATTTTTCTGTAAAACTCTAAAACAGAAAATACCTGAGGAGCTGCAGCGAGCCGTTTAGTGGAGAAAGTGAATACTGCCGAATACACATACCGTACTTTACAGAGATGCTGTATGCGAAACCAATGTGAGTTTGGAAAATTGCACAGTATTTTTCTATTTTAGTATACCTCAACAATGGAATTATGATCAGTGGAAATGGCCATGACACCTCTCTTTTAAAAAGGGCCATATGGGGGTTTTACCATTCTAAAACATCAAAACAAGATTATATAATCAAAGAATAAGTAAGCAGATCTGGCCAAGCATTCGTTAGTTAATAATGTTTTAATACCTGTTTGTATTGAGGTTTGACACTCTGCACTTGTGATTATATTCATTTGTCTTTTATATCAATTTAGAATGTCATCAAAGGAGAAATAAGAATGCAGAGGTTAAGAGGTCACGCTCCTCAGAGGTCACCTGACGCCCTGTGATAATACAACTGGCTTCCCATTACGAGGTGTCACCATTTAAGAGTCGCTGTGTCGCCCTGTTCTTGGGACCACCCATGTGAAAGCTGGCGTCAATCACATTCCCATCCCACCCCTCAGTCAGCAGGGCCAGAGGTCAGCAGTAAAATCCGCACAAATGTCTTCACCTGTCCAAATTGAAGATGTATCGCCTGCTGAGGTGGATGATATGGATCTAATTAAGATGAAGTGATGCATTACATTTGATACTGTCCTCCCTCTGTGAGAGACTACTGCGGTTAGACCATGGGCTCTTTCCCTTATGAGGAGTAACGCCTCGTCTCATGCCATGCGTTTGCTAGCAGGTGACTGAACATCAAGCGCACGGCCAAAAGCTACCAAAGAGAACTCAAAGCAAAACAAAGGACAGGTGGCAGGGCTCATAGTTACCAGTTTAACAGTGATTCTGAGCACAAACAATAACCACTCACACAGACCCCTGAGGTGATAGAACACAGCATCACAACAAAGTGACGGAGGTTGTGTTTGGGAGTGGGAAATGTAAACTAGCTAAGAGTCTTCATAAGAGCAAAGGGTGGTCTTTCCATTTTCACAGCAGCAAACGCATCCATGCACACAATTTGAATCAGGCTGCAATCATATTCATTTCAACTACTTTTTTCTTTTTATTACAAAGGAATAAATTAAGTCAAATTAAAAACAGAAATAAGGGGAAAAAACACTCATTTCCATTTCAGAACATCTTTTAATTTCAAAAGCTGGAGCCAGGAAATGTTTGGCATTTTTACTTTGATAATCTAGTATGATAATGTAATTTGTAATGCTGGATAAGTTTGTAGTTAAGATTTTAAGTAATTTATTATTCTATTTTCTTCACCTTTTCCTGTCATTGATGTGTGATTCGACTGCTGTAAGGATGCAATTTCCCAACATCTTTTAAATGCATAAATCCATTTGAATGTCCGACTTGTGGCGGATTCATTTTCCGTCTATCATTCTCCATCCGATTCATTATTTGAGCCATTATATCAAGAGTGTATTTCCAGCACACTTTGGCTACTTGCATTTACGACTCAAAAAACAGAACCATTTAAGAGTTAACTCTAGCAGGACATGGACCAAAGGTCAGACAAATGAAGCTACAACCAAAAGCGACATGTCCAACCCCCTTACACAACTCCTCCTTCTGCGGTGGATAAACTGTGCAGAGAGATTACATGTCACAGGAATGCGCGCCCTTCAACACTCCAACATCTTCACGCACACACTCACACACACTCGCTTCTGTTTTTGCTCTTTTTCTGTGCACACGTTGCTTGTGATGTCTGACTGTGTTCATATTATCCAAGATCGTCTGCTGGAGATTCAATGGAGCTGAATAAATCATATTTGGCATACTGGAGTGTCATGTTTCCAGCAGGGTCATGGCGTGTCCGCAACGCTCTGATGTCTGTGCCCCCCCCACGTCAGCCCCTCTCCCCCCTCCAGGTGTTGACATGCACCCGTCTCTGCTTTAATGGTTTCACGTCTGTTACAAGATGTAAACTATGTTCTACCCGATCACAGGGGCACACAGACAGAGCTGTTATAACTGAGGGGTAACTTCTGTTTCTCAAAAACAACTCCTGTGACATGAGGCATGATGTTGCATTCTGGGCACAGCAGGAGGGAATCTCGCAGACTGAATCATTTCCTCCAGTCATGAAGCAGCTGTTTTACTAATGCTAAATTCAATGAGTCAGAGAGGACAACATTAACGAGGACAAGTGAAAAATGTCTTAGTGCCACTTGCGTCATCTGGCTGACAATTACTCATATTGGTAAATGTAATAACCGATAGCCCATATTTCACATTATATCCATATGTAATAGCTAAACATCTCACTTTGGCACAATGAATGAATCTGGTGCTACAGGCTCTCCACACGTTTTTTTAAACAGGGCTTTGGGCCCATTCAGTCACATGAGCATGGGCGCAATCGTTGGACAATAAGGACTGGGTCAATTGGTGTTGGATGAGTTAGAGGAGAGGCCAGTCAACTTCTTCCACACTAAACTGCAAGTTGGAACCAACCGTTGTTTTAAAGTGATTCCCTACCAGGGTACAACTGATTCTACTGTGGCTACAAGAGAGTGGAGCATCAGTTTTTTTGCAGGAAAATACAAAAATAGTATTAAAAATGCGAGACTTTGAAGTATATTTAATGTCACAATAAATAACAACAACCAGCTATTAGAGAAGGACGGCACAGGACTAGCCTTGGTTTTCCCATTTGTCAGGTGTCATATTTTAACACTGTGTGCTGGGATTAAGATTGCAGAAAAACTAAGTAGTAAGTAAACAAATGAGTTAAAATGGATAACTTTAGGTGTTGGATAAATGGCTGAAATCTGTAGCTTCTGCCGCTCCAAGTGGTAGTAGAATTAGGGCTGAACGATATATCGTGTCATGGCGATAACCGTGATATACGCATGCGCGATATTCACATCACAGGGATGTGCGATTTTATTCATGTTTTTAATAAAAATAAAAATAATTTTTTTAGGACGTGCGATATTAAGTAGGTACATTAACTCAAACACGTCATGTTACAATTATTTTTGCTGCTTGCTACAAAAGGAAAACTTGCGCGGCTCTCATGTCAGGGGTACTTGAGTGAGTGACATGCAGGCTCTGCATGCACAGCAAACTACCAATCAGAATCATTCTTGATCAGATCACAGCAGGCCCCGCCCCGCTAGTTTGCAGACCATCAAAACACCGGTAAAAAATGAGCAAGGCACAGTCAGGAGGACAATACCGGCGAGAATGAAGATTTACTTCCAAAAACAAAAGCAACATCTGCAACTATTTTGGATACAAAAAGGTTCTTCTCTTCTTCATTCACAGCTGAACCCCCTTATTTGAGGGTAAGCAACATGCAACATATCATGACATGTTATATCATGACTTAAAGTATGATGAGTCTACCAGTTAAGATCCAGACGTTCGTGACTAAAATCCTTCATCCGGCTAAATATGGTTAAAAAAACGCAATATATATCGCAGGGGAAAAAGATATCGCAATTTCATTTTTTTTCAATATCGTGCAGCCCTAAGTAGAATAATGCCAACTAAGCACAACAAATGAAATCAGCATTTCCAGGATCATTATGACATGTATGGGCTCTGATTAACAGCCACCGACCCACCAGGGGCACATGACCCATCTCACAAGGCAGGGTAACAAGTAATTGCACGCTCTGCCATTCTGATATCTCCTAATGGAACTAAGTGACTCCATAAAAAGCAGCTCCAGATAAAACATTTCACAAAAGCCCTTCAGCCTTCTAACTGGCTGTACAGCGTGTATTTATCTGAGTCTTCCACAACGTGATGGTACCGGTAAGAAGCCTCTCTTTCAGCGCCGCTGCTGGATAAAAGCTACAAATGAATCATCTTGAATCACAGACAGTTATTATTTGGTTGGTTGGAGAGAGACATAAGAAAAGCACAGCCCAGATTCACATTTGTTCAGCTATTAGCCTCTAATGATGCAACCCGATGTTTCCAACAGACATTGTTGTCATGGCATGGTGAAGATGTTGATGTTCCAATATGATTCAACAGTTTCTGCTCTTATATCTCTTATTTTAAAGCAGCATTAGCTAAATGAACTTATCAGTGTGAAGTACATTTTGATTGCACAATGTAATGGCTGTAATAACATCATCAGCTGAAAGTGGTTCCCCATTGGGAACTTTCTGCCAAGAAAATAAACCCTCCATTAACAGCACAATGGAAGTGCGTCAACCATTGGGCAACCAAACCAGAAGGAGGATAGCGGTTTTGTTTCCCTGACTGTCCAAAAAAAAATCTGCATTATTAGAATCCTGACAAGATTAATATTTGCATTATCTTGTGAGATTGGCAGGTACCGTGCAAGGGAATGCTAGGTGGGGGAAAGTTGGTGAATTGTCTATTGTGTTGTTTTTTTAATCTTACATGTTCTAAACACTTGTATTTTAGGTGTTGAATGTGCAATGCTCAGTAAACTTTCACAGTTCTTATAATTCCTTTAGTTCTATCTCATGCTTCCCAAACAAAAGTGTGCTGTTACAGCCACATAACCAATGATCCTGATGTATTGAAGAACCATCTACCAAACACAGAATCCCAGTTAATGACCGAAAACTAAAACACATCCAAATGTAGCATGAGAGCAACAACATAAAGGTTATAGACTTACAGTAACCACATCTTGTCCCTCCCTCGAACACAAATCCGTTGGGTACGGGTCCATATCTGCGCAGGTCTGGGAGGTTCCAGTGTCCGATGATAGCAGGCGGGACGTCCCGGGCTAAAGCCAGCAGGTTGTTGCACAGATGAAGGGTCGCAGGCCCACTCTCCAGCTTGGTCCCCGGTAAGACTCCAACACTGAATCTGTGAACTAAGCAAACAGAGAAATGGTTAAATCATGGAGAAAGGCAAACAGCTTCAATGCAAGACTTAGAACATTATCTAACAATTGTCACACGCTTGTCACACGTTTATGCCCATTTCCATGCAAATGCTAAGCTTACATGTACTGTTATGTACATGTGCTTGAACTGCCCCATAATAACCTGGTCAAATAAGACATTGACTCACTGAAATTAGAAGGTGCTGTTTGGCAGATATCGTAAACCTTTCATGAAAATAAATAACGGTATCCCCTGTTCAGCTGTTACATTTGGAAGACGTGCAGTTAACTCAATATTGAAAGTCTACGGGACTGACCTTTTGAGACAAATGTGTAATTTGCAATATTATATAAGTACATTTGAATTCGATGTTTCCCTGATAATACTATATTGTAAAGAGAACAAATGCATGTTGAAGTCGTCGGGAAGAAGGCTGGTTACGTCATCTGTTAGCAGCCTAATCAGAGGTACTATTGACTCGCATTATGGTGTGTTCAAGCTCTGCCTAACAAACTGCCTTTACTTCTGTCAGAATCCATTGACATGCAGGGGAACTGAGTCCAGGCAGAAATTAGCCGCAATTAGTCTTCACATGGGACAGATACACAGTGTCCTTAAAAATGATTATTTCAGCATGGTTTTGATTTCATTCCTCAATTAAAAGCAGAAACAGCTGCACACACAGAGAGTGAGATCAGCGAGCTAACTGTGAACTCAGATCTAAAGCCCAATGCAATCAATCACAGCCTCGCAAACATCTGTGTCATGTTGCTTCTAAGAAACCAATGAGGAAAACAGCATGTCAAATTAGAAACAAGTGCATTTGTGTTTCTGCCTGTGAGTTTGTGAAACTTTATTTAACTCATGTGTGGTGTTTCCCAATGGCTCTTAAGACTTTAACTGCGCTAAGCTAACTCCGCACTGCAGGTGAGGCTGATAAGAGGCGATGATGAGGAAATGTTGACAGGATGCGTCATGTCATTACTCAGGTTAAGGAAGATTAATATGTTGTCCCAAAGAACAACAAAAGCTGTGCCCACAGTGGCCCACAGTCTGGCAGGTGACATTTCCAATAGCTGGACACACTATAATCTAGCTTTCTCAAAACACACAGACACAGGAGCATCCATACAGGCAAGCAAACACATATATTTACCAATGGGAAGGAACAACTGCTATGCAATTTGTCTCTAGCACCATGTCCTCTACCCCACAGGCAGGTCCCGTAGCACTGTCATTAGTGACTGCTTTAACATTCAGCTGGAGTCTGGCCACCAGCTCGACAGTCCAATGCTATATTTAGCACCTATTTGTTTATCTTTTATATAACTTGCACAGAATGGATCCATAGAGCATGGATATATTAACTAAATTCAGGTGCGATCATTTCTAAAACCTTGTAATAAACCTTTAAAACGTTTTTTTTACTGACTATTCCCCAGGTGTGATTTACTAAAAGATCATTAGCCCTTTCATGAAGCAAATGACTTAGTTTAGGGTTAGATAAAGTGAACATAGCAGAAGTGTATGACAGGGTGACAATAGCTGTTTTAGGGGATGGTTTGTCCGTTTTTAAGTGTACTGAATCAGTAATCAGAGGCGGTAGTGGCGAAGTCGATAGGGAGTTGGTTTGGCAACTGGAAGGTCACCAGTTCAAGTCCCGGCAAGACTAAGTGCAGAGGTGTCCCTGAGCAAGGCACCGTTCCCTACACTGCGCCCCGGGCGCCGTTCAAAATGGCAGCACACTGCTCCTAACACTAGGATGGGTCAAATGCAAAGAAACAATTTCCCCACGAGGGATTAATAAAAGTCCATCTTCTCTTATCTTAATATAAATGTTGTTTGATGGAAAAATCATATAGGACCAGAAATGTGTTAAAAGGGTCAACAGCAATTGAAAAGACATTCATACAGCGACAGAAACGTCACAAATAAACTGGCTTGCCAAGTCAAAAGACGCACAAACATCAACTTATCAGAATAATAAATAGAAATATGTACAAAGTAGTTCCTTTCTTCAATGAATCATCAGTCAAAAATAATTGCAGCTTTCCTATAACGGTGCTTCAAAGCTCTCCACCCGTTTCCTGCCTTTGTTTCACTTGCTGCAAGATATTCTGTGGTTCACCTGTAACGGTACGTCCACACAGCAGCGTTGAAAAAATCTTGGAGGTGGGCGTATCTGAAGCTTGGGTTATTTTTTACGAGCAACGCGACCAACAACCAATCACATGAATCTCCCGCCCCCTACACACATTTATGAGATTAATGTCTATGGTGCTATTTTATGCTACATTCCATGCTGGCTAAATATACTGTCTATAATTGCTAGCAATGTTTAAATGAAGTAAAACGAACTAAACTGGATATCAACTCGCCAAACAGGCGAAAAACCTACCAGTTTCACCAACTGTCTCTGCCACCTCCCTCCATGCCTGGTTCCTCCGGTTTGTATCCCGGTAAGTTAATAGGGACTGGTCATAAAGAACCGGGTGTTTTTCTACCGCAATAACTAATTTCTCCTCCATTTTTAGGAATATAGAAAATCCTGAAAATCCTGGAAATCTTCGCTTTGCTTCCCCACAATGCAGTTCGGCGAAAAGCGAGGCAAACTGACGTCACCCCAATTCAAAGTCAATGGGCAGAGAAGCGTTGGAAGCGTTGGAAGATTTTTTTAAAGCTGCTGTGTGGACGTACCTAAGGATTCATAAATCAGGCCCCGGGATATATTCATATATTCATTATATATATGCATATACATATTCATTCTGCTGACAGCATGATGGATGAATTAATCCACTTGTTGAGAACCGCTTTTATTATAGTATAGAGATTCATCTTGAATTGTTTTGAGCACCGGAAATGAAACACTAAGCGAACAAAGCTGTAGCACGGCTGTAAATCCTCACCTTCTCCGAGGCTGTATCGTAGGCGGGCGTCCCACGCCTGCAGGGCCTCTTTGCTATCGAAGCCCAGTAGAGCAGTCTGGTTGAGGCAGAGGATGGTGAGAGTGAACGCCACTCCTTCAAACCACTGTCCCGTTTCCACTCCGCAGATCTCCTCCAAGGTGACACTGGCCCTCTCCTTGTTGCCCTGAGCTTTGTCGGATTTGTCTTTAAAAACCAGCAGCACTAGGCAGTCTGGAATCAGAAAGTACGTACATGTCAACGTCACATTTTTGCATTATTTTAGAAGCAGCAGATCCCTGAAAACAACTGGAAACTGTTTAAATACATGAAAGTCCAAATAATAATAAAGTATTCTTTTGACACACAGTAGCTGTTCTGTAGTCTTTTGGCACCTTCAGATAATCAGTGTCAACTGACAAAACAACACTGTGTGTGTGCATCTCACTACACACACGCATAACTGAGGCATGAGCGCAGACAGCTGTGATAACACTGACATCCAAGATCTGAAGAGGAGCAGCGCTCACCTCAGTATAACCTGTGGAGCACGCTAAGCACCAGATATCTAAAAGAAACCTTTCTGTGTAATGCAATACAGACACTTTAATACTGGGAATCAGAGTTCTTCAAAACATTAAAAGATGTAAGGTAGGTTTTGACAACCTTGAACTCAACTTCATGTAAGCTGAAGCCTCTTCAGTAAATGTGACCAGACGCAAATTCACTGAGAGAACATTCATGGTGCATCTAAAAATGCAGAAGAGCTCGGTCTTTTAAAATTAAATTAGCGGATGGGCTCAAATAAGGGTCAAAAACAATTATGGGATCGTGTTTAGAAATATTTTGAAAACTGTTTGTATATCAGTTTTAACCTGCACAATATTTGTAAGAGAAATGTTACTGTGTGGAAAGAAATCTGACAACTATTTGTGCACAATTAAAATCAAGGTGAGGCTACACACACAGCAGGAAACTGTGAAACAACTGAACACACTTGAATGCACATTTAAAATGACATGGATACATTTTAACCCTGTATTTACAAACAATTCAGGGCAAAAAGTTACACTTTAAATGTACTTCCTAAAAATCAACTTCTATTTTGAAACTGTACTTGGCAAAAACGTTTTTCCTCTCAGAGACTTGGTGCAACATTTTGATGCCAATACAAGTACTTTTACTTGAGTAACATACAAGTACTTTTACTTGAGTAACATTTTGAATGCAGGAATTTGACTTGAAACAGAGTATTCCTACACTCTGGTACTTCTACTTAAGTGCAAGACCTGAGAACTTTTTCAACCTCTGTCTTTATTTCCGAAGTTATAAGTCGTTTGAGCCCTATTTGTGCCCGAATAGTTCTGAATGAACGAACACAAACACGGCCTCGTCATTACTGGAAAACACACCTGATATTTTCAACCTGCTAACGAGCTAGCTTCGTCTACTGGCATAGCTAACATGTGCAAAAACTGCATCAAAGCTTTACGAATATGTTTTATTTCGTTAAGAAAGAAGTGTAAACAAGAAGCTGTTATACCTGCTACAGGCGACGGCTTGCGAAGAACGACCCACCTAGTTTTCCACTGTGAAAGAAAGCAGAAAGTACACACAAACTTGTTTAAGCACAGATGAAAGTACTTCTGCCATATCCGTCAGCAAATTTAGTCACGCTAAACACCTTTTTTCCATCTCTGAGTCTGGCATATCCCTCCACGAGAACAGAATCCGTCATCTTCAGTCATGGTTCCTGACAGCTGCACAGTCGCTGACTGAATGAGGGGTCACTTTCAAAATAGCTGCTCTCTCCCTGCTGGAGGAGCACACACCCCCCCCAGCAGAGGCACATGGAAAAAGGCATGACCACTATCCAGTGTTGTGTGTAACGCATTACAAAAGTAACGGAGTTACAGTAATGTAATATTGTTTTGCTGTAACGAAGTAATGTAACGGATTTCTAATGAAATGTGGGTAATATAGTACCCGTTACACTTCTCAGTAACGCAGTTACAACACATTTAACCTGAAATTAAATGGTGTTTTGTTTTTTAAGAATTTACCAACATCGCGAGACATTCCGACACCAGAGAAAAATTGTGCGGGTAGATTAGTAAGCCTGGTGTTCATCAGCCTGTCGGGTGTACATTTCCCCATAATGAATGCCTCGCTGCACATTATCCCGCTTATTAGTTACACGGCCATACTAAACAAACTACAGAGCCCATACAGTGTTCCTGTTATTGTTTACTTCCTCTCTGCCTTCTTCTGGTGATTTATCTGACGTCCAGCGCTCCGTCTTTTAACCTCTTTTCCATTCTCTTTCTTGATCCTCCTTAGCAACCTTCATTACAGGCCTTGACAGTGGTCTGTACTACTGTATTAACGACGTTTCACATGTTAAGAATTTACAATCAGAATCGAGTATTCAACTAAGCTTTGTAATAAAAGTTGTTAGTAGCCTTAATGGCTATAGCTATACCACATTGCCCTTCACTGGACATAATGAGCTGCACTAAACTACATTTTAGCATTTAAAATACCTAGCCATTCTTTTGCGGTTATTTTGGTAAAGTAACTCAAAAGTAGGCTAATATACAATTAGTGTAACTCATTACATTTCAGAGACAGTAATATTGTAATGTAACTTATTATTTAAAAAATACAGTAATATGTAATGTAGGCTACTGTATTACATTTTGCTCCTNGTGTGCCTTGGCAGTCTCAGTTTCAGAGACAGTAATATTGTAATGTAACTTATTATTTAAAAAATACAGTAATATGTAATGTAGGCTACTGTATTACATTTTGCTCCTGGAAATCGAAGATATTGAAAGTGGCCCTTCAACTGTGTACTTGTACAATAGCTACATTCAAAATGAAAAGACCCAACAATATTATTCCTGGGACAAACTCCTGGTGACAATAGAAATGTGCTGCCAAAATAATTGATATCCTTAAATTAAAGTTAAACAAATCTATGTATTTCATTTAAAATAGTTACAATTCAGATTATTTGTTGTTTACATTAGATACATTGAAGCCTCACTTTAAGTAAAAGCACTAAAATAACTAAATAAATGTGAGTTTAACTTCAGCTATGAGTATGCAATATTAGAATGATCTTATATGACCATATATAATATTTGCATTGTTGTACTAACTATACAATCAAAGGATAACACGGTTCTATAATTCTGTGCAATATGGTTAAAAGGCATAAATAAGCTTCTTAATTCACATTAAATTGAGATTTTCTTTGTGAAAATACATACAAATATAACTCATGTATTAGGCTCGACAACATTCAAAGCTTTTTCAAGTCATAAAAGGTTTATTCAGTCACAAAGTGTTTCACAGCTAAAAAAGATAATCTATAAACTTCCACAAGCATTATAAATATAAAACAATCAAATAAAGTACAAAATATTATATATTAAAGCTATTATCCAGGTAACATCAATTCACAAAGCCTTGGGTTTGCGTGTGATCACTGAATTGATCCAATCGATATAATGCGTCACTTTAGTGTAAACACCGGGTTTGTCGGAGCGGCCGCAGCCGTCTCCCCAGCTGATGATGCCATACAGGAAGCTGACATCATGGCGCACACAGGCCAGAGGGCCCCCCGAGTCGCCCTAGGGAAACACATAAGTGGATAGTCTTCAAACACAATATAAACAGACATGCATAGATGAAAGCGGAGTCGCACAAACACCTGAGTCACCCACTTGAAACCTAATATATTACTAAAATTGCACTCTACCCACAAGCTAAACAGATAAGCATGACATTTCATTTAAGAGGGAAGAGCGGGTGATTGAGTAGGATGTCTTTGGCTGCAGACATTTCTGCAGTTTTTAAACCCTCACTAACTTCCTCCTGTCACTTCACTCAGGGGAATCCCTGCTGCCATCTTAAGTGCTGTTCCATTACTCTGAAACCTCTAGTCAACGTTCTTACATAGACCCTTTCAAAAAGTTAGGGAGGTCTACAGCTATGTGGACTTTGGGAGTTGTATTTGCGCAGAACACTTTAGAGTCGAAAAAAAGAGAGCTGGTTGCGATTCTTATATTATTATACCTAGCCTTGTTTTCTTTCCAAGACATTTAGCAGCAGAATATAATTTTTTACAAACAGTATAAATGATAATACATATTTACAGCTGCCAGATGTAGCTTACATAGCTAGCGAAACATCTGACCAAGCTACTGTCAGTTTGCCAACATATAACCGAAATTTGAAATGCACAAAATATATAGTCGAAATTCAAGATTAAAAGAGATAATGGTGGACACCCTTGGCCCAAGCTTCCAGGAAGTCAGCTGGATGTTGAAGCACCTTTTGTTGTTAAAATCATCATCGAGAAATCAGGCCATGTTGGCTTTATGCGGCACTGAGCAATTTTAATAGGAATAAAGGGGGCCCCACATCAAGCGCCCCATGCAGTTCCCTTAAAACAACCATGGCTTGACCTTAAACCTAACTGAAAAACAACACAATGAAATACTCAAATTATAAACATGCGAAAATGTCGGAGTACATACGTTTTTCTACCATACTTTTCGCAGCCTGGGATATAACAATCCCTGTCTGTTTCAAATGTTTACATACCTGGCAGGCGTCCGCACAGCCGTTCTGCCCCGCACAAATCATGTCAGCAGTGAAATGGTTGCCATAAACATGTGGCTTCTTACAATGGTCATGAGGAATCAGTCTCACTCCAGCCTCCTGCAGACTAGAGTAACCCTCTGCCTCTGTCAAAAGAAATAACCCCAACACGTTACATTACAAGGAAGTGAATGGAAGTCCCCCATGAAACAGGAAGGTACTTGGATTTTTCAATTAGTTTCATGCATGTTCTATTGAAGGCCCATCACCAACACAGGTGGTTCCACGTATGTTTCCGTAATGAGACCTAATGATTGACATCTTTATTCTTCTGTAAGGGTTTACAGGGCGGAACAATTTAACCTGTCATCATCAGTGTTCTGAGTAGGTAACAAAGTATTATGACAAAATATTTCTAGGAAAGTACCACCGGATTTCAACTTGACTGAAGGTTTACTTCTTCATAGTAATAAAAGGGGGTGTGCAGGGCAAAATAAATTAATACTTCAAACGTACCACACTAAATGATATCTAAGATGACCTCTTCCAGGTTGCTAAAACCCCAAAGATTACAGGAAAATAACATTGTCGAGACGAAAGTCAATATTGAAAGAAAAATAATAATATCTGAGAAAAACGGACTGATAAATAATTATTTGTATGTATTTTCGTTTAAAGTATTATTATTATTATAGTATTGTTCAATACCAGGAGGGGTATTCGTTTTATTTTGAATAGCATAGGCTACTTTTCTTAATAAGCGAGCTGTTATTAAAAAATATTAATGCCGCTTCCGGTAACACGGCAACAAAATGGGCAGGAATTGTGATGGCCGGTCTCTTGTTCCCAAAGCCACGGAGGGAGAAGTTGGCGACAGTGTGTGTGTGATGCTCCAGAGACGCCGTTGGTATGTTTCTCCGGTATTTATTGTGTTTTATGTACTTGATCTGTTGCCTTACTTTGTGAGAGTGCTGTTGCGCAATCGACGGCTTTTTACGCAGCGTGGTCTGCCTGCGCTCCGTTTGTCTGATGTGTATTTTAGACAGCGCAGGTGGTGTTCAGTTGAGGTTTTCTCTGGTGCTTGTTTCCAAGTAGAGAAAAACACTCTTATTAATTCATTTAAGTTAATGGTGTGGTTGTAAAATAACTCACAATTGATCCTTTTAATTAAAATACCCTGAAAAGGCAGGAATGTGACTGAGTTGGTGTTATTATTATTGAGAAAAATGCAATGAGGCATGCAAAATGTTTGTAATTTGTGTTTGCATGTGAGCTAACATTTGTTTGCCCTTTGTGTTTTGAAGGTTTTCAACCTGATGAAAATTATTGGAGTTGTCTTTTAAAAATAAAAAAGAACAAAAAAGAACAACATCTGAGTTGTCCAAGCGTCCTCTGTTGCCCTCCAGCCTCTCAAGTTCGGGCTAAATCACTATGTACATGCCAAAACCCTGAAGAACTTGATAAACATAAACTAACTTAATGGAAGCTTCAGTCTAAAAAGGCATTTCTTATCTCTATCATTTTACTGGTAAAACCCCATTGACTACATTATTTGTTTGTTAAACTAACATTTCCTGAGAACTTTGGAAGAACTTGAAGCACAAAGCACTGAGTTTTGAACACATACTGTATATTGACAAAACAGTAAAAAGACAAAACAACATTTCCACTGCTTTGACAGTTTAAGGTTTCATAAGGAAATAATGTATTGCCGTTCAATATCCACCCAAATAAAGTGTCTGTTCCAGTGCATCTCTGTACTGTAGGTGTAATCGTGATGAAAAAGCTTGTCCATGATCTCCCAATCACTCACTCTCACTCATGTGTCCCCAGCCGCTGATGCTACAGCAGAAGTGATCAGGGAACGCCATGCTTTTGTCCGGGAGACAGATGGGTCTGATGAACGGAGTTCTCCTCACGCACCGCCCGTCCTGCTTCGCCAGCTTAATCAGAGCTGCAAAACAATAAACGCGACGTTATGAAACCGGTGACAAAAAGCGTAGTTAAACGATGACACAAGTGTTGACCAATGAAAACGTTTGTGTGTGTGAAGAAGTCAGTGTGTGTGTTCATGCGGGGGAGCACAGGGAAACAGCTGCTCAGTGACGCACAGCTGTGCACGCAAACTGGGGTCTTAAGTGAGTTTGTGTGTTTCTGAATGGGGACAGGAGGTATTTACTTGAGTCACTGGTGTGTGTGTTTCTGTGTGTGTGTCCGTTTAGTGCTTACCAATGTCATGTAGTGTTGGATTAAACACTGAGAACTGTTTTGTTAAGATGTACTCCTGCACTCCGAACGTCCTGGTGTTTGGACCCGTGACGTTGAAACTCTGCTGGCCGAGCACCACCCTCAGCTGAGACCTCAGGGGGCTAAAGGAAGACACATTATTATCAGTAGATGGTAATGCCAAGTATTTACTCATAATGTCCATCTGTTTACCAGACATTTCAGTCCAGAAGCCTCGACAACTACCGGCTAAAATTACTTCGATTAACTTTGATCCCCAGAGGATGAGTTAAAACCTTTATTTTGGCACCACCGTTAAACTAAAATGTCACGTTTACACAGGACGTATTAAAATGTAATGGGCCGATTTCCATTATATTTATCCGGTACCTTGAAGCATCCATACGTCCTAGCTTTCCCTGAGGACAATATTAACACTTCTCGACCCAAGACTCTAATAATAGCTAATCTCCAATATGGTGTTCATTAATTAGTTTGTTCTGCGGGGTATTAGGAACATTGTGGACTCTTGTTCTGCTTTGTTTAGCTGAAAGCAGATATCATGTGCCGTATCCTTATAGTAAACTGCTAAACACTCCAATTTCCATTCAGTGATGTCCAACTCGATGATGTAATGCGTTAGCCAAAGATCTTTGAACTTGAACAATGACACCAGATGCCTGTTTGCTGACATCAAGAGAGAAATGTATGCTCATGCATGTAAACAGCATCTGTGCGTGGGCCGTTTTTAGGTTTTCCTCGAACTGGACGTCTAAATATAGCACCTTCGTAAAGCTGTGATGATGAGGAGTCAAAGCCTTTGAATCACGGGCCTTCTGAGTTGCGACCTCTGCGACGGATAGTAAACATTGTGTAAATAATGCTCCCGTCTGATCTATAAATGTCTTTTTGGTACCATATTTTCAGCAGGAACTTGGTGGGAGATTTATATTTTTCCACACTCTGTTAATACAAAACTATGTAAGGTATGTCGACTAAACAGGGCTACCAAACCATTGTCTTTGCAGTGACATAAGTACAAAAATGTGCAACCATTACAGCTGGAATGCGTCCATGACATACTTGCTGAAGAAGCAGTGAGCCGCAGAGACGATCCAGCAGGAGGAGACCAGAGTGCCGCCGCAGAAGCCTTTCTCTCCGATGTAAATGGCTGCCATCCAGGGGTGAGTCCCTGGCAGCGCTGAGTTTCCGGCCATTATCCGGCCCTTGGCTATCGATAACCTCTTCTCGTGCCTTTTCCCACACACATGCTTTTTACCGCGATTGGAAGGCTTCGGGACATTAAATGGCATAATCCTTCGTGAAAAGGCTACATGAGGAAACAAGTAGAAGTGCATGATTATTTCAGATTCAATGGCATAATTGAACTATAAACTAAATTTTGTAGAACTAAAACTAGGGCTGCACAACTAATTGAAATTGTGTAGAAATCGCAATACTGACTAGTGCAATGTCCAGATTGCAGTAAGCCCAATATTCGATAAAGACAAATATGACAAAATATAGAGTAAAATATTGCTATCGCAAACTAAATTTAAAAACAAAGAATCCCAACATGACCTTTTAATATTTTTCAATGAAAATGTGAATAGTGTTTCAAAAATGATCATTCCCTCTTATACTGCCAATTATATCGTGATTGCAATTTCATTCCAATAAAAACAAAAAGCAATTACTTATTTTGATTTTAATTGTGCAGCCCTAACTACACCAACCTACACGACTACATATTCATCTAAAAGCTAGAGTATGATGCTAACACACTTCCTAAATACCTCTTCTGAATATTTTCTTGTGTGTCACAGGCTGATTCTCCCCTGTAAGAAAGCAAAAAAGGCTGTTCTATAGGAAAATAATGATATATCAGAAGAGCAACCCCATGCTAGAAACCATGTGTTCAAGGGAGCGCGGCAGATGGGAAAAGCTTGTGGATTCTGTGCATCCCCCTGGCAGATTCGGGACACACGGCTGACGGTGCCAAATCCCACTCACCACATAAACATGGAGCTGCACCTGACATGACATGTTGATTCAGGGTGAGTCATGCCTAAGCCCCCTTATCTCATCCAGCCCACGTTGTAAAAAAGCGCCCTGCCAAAAGCAGTCAACTCTGCTGTATTCAACTTTTTCGGAGCAGCATGACTCAACGGAGATTCGCTGTGTTCCCCGCGCTCTCTGTTATGATCCCAAACACTGCATTTCTAATTAAAAGCGGAGGCCTTGAATGAGCAGTTGATCTGTTTTGATTGTGTCACTGACTGTGTTTCATAATCAAAACAAATAGATTAACCATTGTCAATAATGGCCTCCCTGAAAAGCTGCTCCTAATCTTTTCATACCTTCTAATGATGAGTTCAATCTTCACATAGGACAGCTTAATGAATACGCCATGCTTTATAAAGTTACATACATTTACGTAAACAAGACACAATAATAACCAAGCTTAATAATAAATGGAAAGCGGATTGTTCCAGAATGTATCCGCAGTGAGAAAAGCACAATAAAACTGACTAAGCTAACAGATTATTACTCCTAAAACCCATGGACGAGCTTCAAAGTATCTCAAAACACTTGTAGTGATAACACCAACTACATGACAAACTAAATACAGATGCTAATATGTTCTTCAACGCTCTATGATTTCCAATGAGGCCTGAGAAAATGTCCCAAAAACACATGGTCCCACTGCTTACAAAACTAGATGATCAAACTTCTCCGTTTACTCACACACAGACATCACACAGGCGGGGACGTCACAGTGCTCCCAGGAGATGGCACCGTTATTTAGCGTGTAGCACCACGGCATCTTGTCTTTATCTGGGTTTCTGCACACACGGGAACACAGCGGACAGAGTGTGTGTAGGTGTGCCACCTTTGATTATAACACTGCAGATTACTCACATAAACTTAACGGCACCATCTCTTAAATTACGAGCGGAGAATTATTTCAATTTTGTTGCTCTCACATTTGAATAATTAGGAATAATGTCTCACTGAGTTGTTATATAGGACTTGAATCAGAAAGGCAAATAGTCACTCGGATTCGAAACGTGTGTTTGTGACCAAATCCCAATAACTACTTGTAACTTAATGTTTGGGACTTTTTAGGTCACATACTAATTGCTGTGGGCATGCCATATGGCTGCTTGGTTGTCATAGCAACAAAAATGACTGAAAAAAGCAAGGAGGGCAAATGCAGAGGAGATATTATTTTTAAAATTGTATACAGGCGTGATTCACCATGTGCTTGCTTAACGCTCGCGGTGGTTTCATGTCTGCTGGTTGCCTCTGATGATTGAGCAACAGGTGTTAGCATGTGAACTCCACAGATAAGCTCAGAATAAAGTTAGAAAAAGTCTAATTTATTGGAAGAATATGTGGAAATCTAACCAAATAAGCCAGCTTGTGCACATTCAAATCTTAGAATAACTTTGTTTCATTTGTCATGTTGCTACTAGAATTAGCGGGATGTTTCCACACACACCTGCAGTAGGCATGATTCCCGAGGCCTTTGCGGGCCGAGTTTTCCACCGTGCCCACGTGCAGCTCATCGTACAGCAGGTCTGAGTTCCAGGCCATACAGCGGGTGCCGGACACCGTCGTGTCCACCACCCCTCTGTAATCTGTGCCCCTGCCGGTGTAGCACTCTGACTCTGGCTCTGCACACACACACACACACACACACACACACACACACACACACACACACACACACACACACACACACACACACACACACACACACACACACACACACACACACACAGGCAGAAACATGCAAGACAAAATATGTGTCAATCATGTCTTGATTTCCCAATGAAGTATGTCAGCGACATGAATACAGTTAGACAATGACAGGTTACNACAACAACCAACATCATTATTACATTCAAATGAAGTACATTATTCAAGTTTACATTAACTTTGGATAACACGGGAGAAATGCTCTCTCTCTCTCTCTCTCTCTCTCTCTCTCTCT